TTATAAGACGGAACTTTATGCAGATGGGATTCGATCAAGTGGCTCTTTGCAGATTCCTCAATTGATTAAGGCAGTACTTTGGATAGAGAATTTTCAGAAGCAGTAACTTCAAGCTTTTAGTTGGCTTGGATCTATCTTTTTTAAAATTTGTTTTGAAATGTCATGCTTCTTTATCTCATTGAAATTCAAGCCAGTTATGGAGAGCTTGTTCTTGATTGTCTAAGCGTCTGGATTGAAGGCGTCCAAGAGTACTGCTCTAAAGTACCGCCTCCATGTTAGACGATGGCCAAAAATTGCGCGATACTATAGTGTCCCTTGGAGGATTCCTTTCTTTCCCATTCTGTCACGGCTCTTTCTCCCGACGAAATGAGCAGTTACTGAATTCGATGGGCAGAAATTGGAGCATTAATGATTATAAACAAGGAAGGTCTCGCAACCATCAGGTGATGTAGTCGAACCACCGTTGAGTGACAGTGTAGCGCTCACCAAAAAGCGTTGATAGAGAACGGTGGTGCAATTAAAGAACTATATTCTGTGATTTCTGGGTCTTGATGAGCTTGTTGGTTTCCTCTGCCGCTCCCTATACTGATTCGTTCCTTGGCAAACTCAAATCTTTGTACTAGATAACACTAAGGCTCTTAGTGGACCGATGGATCCTCGAGAGACATATAAAACAATGTAACTACAGGGATTTCGTGAGCATGGTGTATTAACCCCATGATTGATGCATGGAATAGTTGGAAGATATCACTTAATTGCTGTGTCAGGAACTAGAATTTGTTGAACGTGTAAGCAGAAGTAGCAAATTGCGCATAGGAGTCATTTATCGCCGCCCTACGTCTTGAGGACAACTGTCTTCCATGTTACATAATGTACATCGATTTCTATTGAGTGAAGGATTTAATGTTAGTCATGTTGAAGTTTCTTATTCGGAACATGCTACATCGCCTTTAAAAGTTACAACCTTTCAGCCTTGAGAAGGAACAGTATTTTTGAGGATGGGCCAATTAGCGGTAAATAGTTCTATCTGGAAATGTGGTAATACTGCTTTAATGCCATTGCTTATTTAAAAAAAAAAAAAAAACAAGAAAGAGAATTATCTTTACGGAAGACTTCGGTTGTTGCGAAATTGAACGTCCAATTGGAGAGAAAAAAGATATTGCTACAGAACTAACTAAGTATCGAGCTAGAACATGCAGAAACGGATTTCAAACCTTGGACTGTCACGACAGTTTTTTTGGATTTAGCAACGGTAAAGATGAAAGCAGTATAAGGGATGAGAAGTAGCGAGAAAGTACATCAAAATAAGAAGATGATGAGTGTGAAGTATGGGAATTTGCAAGTAAATCGGGGCGTGGCGATTACCGAAGCAATCAAGAAGCCTTGGCATCTCTTTGCGATCGCACTAATTTAGTTTTTGCTCTTTAAGCATCTCTCCAATTAAATACCACCCACACTATACGAAAGCTTTAACTCGATTGGATTTAGATGCGACCTGCATAGGGAATGGATCAGTACAAATACATAGCTGCATACGTATTCCACAACCAACTTATCACATCCTCCCTTTTAACAACACTTGCTACACAAAACCAAAAATAGAATAATACTCCCCAGTGGTGCTTCTAATCAGCTTTTGCAGATCCTACTTTTTGGATAATTACTAATGAAGCTAATCTTGTAGACTGCTCTAAAAAACCATATTTTCCTCACACGAGGG